ATCCTCACTCCTAGAGGAATTCTAAATATCTCATACTGGCCTACCGACCTCGCACAACCCTCCCATGAAACTTCCACCAACTCTGCAACACTCGTGTATGCTAGCTATGCATAACGTTGGACCCTATAGACTTTTGAATACCTGGTCCTACCCTAAGCCCTTCATCAGAAAATAACAGTAAATAAGGCCAAACCAAACATTCTCAGGCTATAAGATCTTAATTATGTACAGTCGTGATGCATACACTAAGAAACTACAATAATGATGTCCATTTCATATAAGGAAAACCCTAGGCTACCTAGCATCATATAATCATTCAATTCTATCATGCATATCCTGAAGATCCCTAGCCTAGTACAACCATGATGTTCTAACATATCACAAAATCAAATAATCCGTAAGGTATTTTGGGGTCTACTTACTGGCTCCGGCTGATCGTACACTTGTATCCTCCTTTAGTATTTTGAAAACCATTTGAGAAATGATTTTAAAATCTTGTCCTTAGTTTGAGACTGGAGACACACGAGTGTTTCCTCCAATTCACTCAAAACAAGGAGATACCAACTTGTAACATCCATAAAAAGTCATGCCAAATTTAAACTTTTTAAAACATTTCAAAACCAATGATTATTACAAAACTTGTTTTAGAAATAGTATAATGTCAGAGTATCGCATAATCAAATCATGATAACATAAGGAGGTGTATGATCACGTCTTCTCCTTCATGCAATCATCAGAAGTACCTGAAACAAAATCAACAACTGTAAGCCCGAAGCTTAGTGAGTTCTCCCAAAATACCAACGCCATACAATCATAATCATATCATATAAACAAACAACATGCATAATGAGCCTTCAGCCTGAATGGACCGCCTCGCAGGGCCTTCAACCTATCTGGACCGCTCCCGCGCCTTCGTCACGTCTGGACCGCCTCGTAGAGCCTACAGCCTATCCGGACCGCTCGTCGGGCCTTCGACCTGACTGGACCGCCTCGTAGGGCCTTCAGTCTATCCGGACCTCCCTGGGTATGTTGGCCTTCAGCACAAAGCAGGACCGCCTCAACCCAACCCCCAATCAAGCAATCATGTTCACATAAATATCATACGCTATCATATATAACAGTCAAACCGATCTAACAGATCACTAATCATACGAACATCCTATAACCAGGATACAGACCTAACCGGTCACTAACATAACATCATCCTATATACCAGGATACCGACCTAACCAGGTCACTAAGCATATCCCCATCCTAACTACCAGGATGTAAATCAATAAGCATATCAAGCAATAACCCGGATACAAATCCGAAAAAGGGCCGACATTGGTGCCTAAGACCCTGTTGATATAGTGAGAAGAACTCACCTCACAAGTAGCTCAGAGTGATAAAGTCAAACTCCACCAAATACAGCTCCAACTCCAGCACCTACATCCACCAATGATCCACTTCCATAAATTCCCAAATTACCAAAATACCCGCAGAAGTCAAACTGTTCAACCCTTGGTCAAACTCAAAGTCAACAGTCAAGGTCAACAGTCCATGTTGATCCAACTCGTCGAGTGCAGCTAGCAACTCGTCGAGTTCCTTAGGAACTAAGGAAATCATAAACCCTAATTCACTTGCCGAGTTTCCAGAGAACTCGCCGAGTCCATGCGGGGTCCAGATGTTAGGAAAACCCTAACTAACTTGTCGAGTCCTCTTACTGACTCGCCGAGTTCATGTAGAACTAATACAGGCAATCTTCAACTGACTCGTCGAGTCGGCTATGCGACTCGTCGAGTCCCTTCAATCCATTCCTTATCCAGACGTTTTTAAGCTACCCCAAAGCTCCATATTGCAGATCTAACCTCCCAGGGCATGGTTTCCACATAAAGTTGCAAACGTTACGTACATGCATGGTCCTAAATGCCAAAACCAAGCTAAGGGAAAGGTTTAACCCAAAAAGAAGGGACCAAGCTTGCTAAATCTGATAACTTTATAGCTATAGGGACTTAGAGAAGTCCATATATGAAGTTACAACTTCAGATCATGACCAATACCCGAAATGGTTCACATATATGCCAAAATGGCCCTAAACTTAAGCATGGAGAGATCTAGCTAGAGGGAAGTCAAGGTAACGACTTGTTACCTTCAAAATGATATCAAGATGAAGTAGAGTCAGATCCACAAGCTTTTCTTTGCTCCAAGCTCCTTAGACTTCAAGCCTTCTACACAAAAACCACTTTCCAAGCTTCTTCACACACACAAATGGAGGGTATTTGAGATTAGGGTTTTCTAGGCTCAAGGGGGACGGTAAGGGAGGCTGAGGGAGGCTAATGGCCCTTTAAATAGGGTGCAAAACCCAAGAAATTTGGGTTTCATTTTCCAGCTCCTACTCGTCGAGTCAGGGTCCTCCGACACGCCGAGTAGGTCCAATAATCCACGCGGGCTAACCCGCCTCTACACGACGAGTTGGGGCAACCAACTCGTCAAGTAGGTCCGTAAACATGTATATAATGTTTTAAAACTTATACCTGGGAGTCGGGGTGTTACAGACGAGTTCAAGGACAGACTCGACGAGCTGATTGGGGAAGTCCCGATTCTGTGATAGGAGAAACTCGTCGAGTTCGTGAAAGAACTCGACGAGTTGGATTGCAATTTCAGGGTTTTATGATTTATCGAACTCGGCGAGTTGATGGACCAACTCAGCGAGTTGAGTCAACCCAGAATGTTGACTTTGACTTTGACTTTGACGAAAGTTGACCCTTAAGGGGTTATGAGTATGAAAAGGGAACTAAAGGAAATATTTTATGTGTAGGAGTTTGAGTGGGGTTGATTTCAGAGCCGAGGACCCTTCAGCTACCTTACAACATTTGAGGTGAGTTACCTTCTAGTAGAAATGGGTCGAAGGCACCAATGTCGGCCCATTAGTAGCTGATTATAGTAGAGATGATTGTCTTTGTGATAATTTTCTGGTATGCCGCTATCTGTTATGCTTTATGTCCTAGTATGCTATGATATTATGTGGTAGTGGTAGGAGGGGTAGGATAGACCCCGTTACCGGTCGAAAGGACCGAAAGGGTAGGCTAGCACTCAAATATGCTATGCAGTATGTGACTTATGTGTTTATATACTAAGATGATATATGGTAGTAATAGGGGGTGAAATAGTCCCCGTTACCGGTCGAAAGGACCGAAGGGGTAGACCGGCACCCTAATATGCTAGGTAGTTACCGGTTGAAATAGACTGAAGGGGTAGGACAGCACCCTGATATGCTAGGCAGTTACTGGTTGAAAGAGACCGAAGGGGTAGACCAGCACCCTAATATGCTAGACAGTTACCGGTTGAAAGAGACCAAAGGGGTAGGCCAACACCCTGATATGCTAGGTAGTATGCTTATTGTATGGAATGTGGTATGATGGGGGAACTCACTAAGCTTTGTGCCTACGGTTTTTAGTTTTGGTTTCAGGTACTTCCTCTTCGAAGGGAAAGGAGCCGACATGATGGCAGCGCATCACACACGATTTTCCGCACATGAGATCTTTATGAGATGTACGCTGACATTATTTTTATATGACATGTTTTGAGATATTTGATACATGGGTTTTGAGTATGATATGAGATGACATCATCGATGTTTTCAGATTACCGTTTAACAAATACTTAATTAAAATGAAATTTTTGGTCATGAATTTTGTGATGTTACACTAGCGCTTACCCATTTGTTATAAATGTTTTCCAGACACTTCATTGGTTCGTGTGAAGGGCAAGGATCAACTATACATACACGCATTCACAATCACATTTCCACATAATGTAATTATACTCTGATGTAATTGAATGTTTTTAATAAATAAAAATGCAAAATTTAGGTTGAAAACCGGGACGTAACATACTGTAACAAACGTAGAACCCTCAGTTAACAAAAACAATATTATCCGATCTCCACATTAGTATATATATATATATATTATATATATATATATATATAATATATATATTTTCTAGTTAGTAAACATGGAGCCTTCAACTTCAATGACTACTAATTTGAAGACCCAAGGATTTCTGTCTGCTAAATTGAAATGGAATAGTAACTAGTAGGGAATTACCTGTGCCTTTGGCGCTGTGGTAAAAGTTTTTTCTTAGGATTCACAGAATAATCAAAGAAAGAGGCACAATGTATCACAAGATAGTATTATTCATATTGTTTACATGCAAGGGGTATAAAAGCTAGATTGGTTGATACACCAAAAGACTATTTAAACTGAAAGGCAAAGAAAGATAGTTTCATACACCAAAAGACAATTTAAACTGAAAGCCATTAAACGAACAAACGTATTAAAGGTAGGGATGTTTGTCATCAGGGAGATTTTTTATCTCCTTTTTGAGGTTTTCGATAAGAGTTTCATATTTGTTTTTCATCTCCTGCATGCTCCCTATCAGTTTTGCAGTTTCATAGTTGTTGTCAACTAAGATTTGCTGCATCTTGAGTTAGTTATCAAATGATGGTTTGATGTCCATGTGCTCAAGTAGCTCCTTTTTGTAGTTTTGATGCTCAAAGGCTTCGTCCTGCATGTTGATTAGTGATAACTTTTTTTGCCTCGTAGTGACTGATGAGGTTGTTGATGATCGTTTGCATTTTCTGGGGTTTCATTTTCCTTTTGGAAAGCGTATCTGTTTTCTGGATGGTAGTGTTTGAGGATGCCGAAGGACTTGGATGCTTTTTAAATATGCTACTTCGTATTTAATACGGTTGTTAGGTGTTTAATGCAAGTATTAGTTTCCAAGATCATGATGATGTATGATGTGAGTTATGGGCGGCGTTTCAGATAACGATTTAATTTTAGATGGTTTTTATTATTTTGTTAAGAAATTAAGTTTTAAATGTAAGATAATAAGGACTTAAATGTAAGGTAGGGTGACAACATTTGTTCTGACATTAGTAGAATATAATAAAGACAATGGACAATGAAAGGAACATTTTATTTAATTATGACATAAAAACGTGAACATTATATCTACTTAACGGGAAGGTTGCTTGCAACTTTGTTTAGTTTTGCGATGCTTTCATTGATTTCTTCTTCCAATGTTGCTATTATGTTTATACCTTTGTTGTCGAATTCATCTTCGTTGTTGAGCAACTTAGCTGAAATGGCGTAGTTGAGGAAGTGAGGCTTTTCGGTTAGCGTTATTGCTAAGTTTTGTTTGATGGCTCTTCCTGCTTGAAGCTTGTGTTTAAGCGTGCGAATGGTTTTTGTTGTTTGTATTTTGTGACGTCTGATTGTCTCGATCATACGGTGAACATCACAGGCCTTCATGATGTTGACGATGTTTTTTTTGTGGGATTTTTTTGATGAGTATGTTTTTGTTTGTTGTCTAAGAGTGTATTTATACTTGTTTTTTAAAATATTTTTTAATCTTAGATGACACGTGTTCTACTTGGCGTGTAAAGTTAAATGGTTTTTCAGAATACGTTTTCCAAAGTAGAGATACACAGTTGGAAGTTATTGCTTTAGTTTGTTTGAGTTTATGTAAATGTATTTATTAATTTGTTGGTGCAGATATTGTTATATATAATGTTAACATATTTGTAAATATGGAGGCCATTACATCTGTCGATATACTATTATTTTTACATTGAACGTTTGATTTATTTATGGATACATGTTCGACGGAGTATATGACAAACGTCGTTACTACTTAGGAACCAAAAACTAAAAAAAATATGTGGTAGATGTATCCTTCATCTTGTATTTGTACTTGCCGATCCTTTTGTGGATTGATCCTAATATGAAAGAAATGTTGTCCTCCATTGATTGATCGTCGATTTTGGCTTTTTCAAACGTGTTTTGTAGTGTTTGCACGTCAACATCATCAGCGTGATTTGTGCTATGTATAGTTGCACCTTCTCGTCAAGGATGAAACTTTCATGTAACCTCGACTGAGCTGCGTCAAGTAGGTCGGCAATTTCTCTTAGGAAGTCGATGACGACTACCAAACTTTTATTGAAATCTACTGTGTTCATATTGATTTTTGTGATGGGGTTATGTGATATGTTTTTTATTTACCTATCCGACTTAGAATTTGTGTGTATTATATATTGTAATTTTTAAGATGTAGTGTATACCTGTAGATGTCCACGTGTAATGTTTTCCTCCTGATAGCATTGCTTATTGGGTTTTTATAAAGCAAGGTGTAACATGATGTGCGTTGTAATGTTATATAGGTAATGAAAGCTATAGTAGAGTATAAGTGATAAGATGATAGTAGAAATCTATAATTTATTTCCTTCTGATGGCATTGGTTATTGGGCCTCCATAAAGCAAGTTGTAAGATGAGATGCGTTGTAATCTTGTATTACTAATGAAAGCTATTATATCGTTCTGTATGGAGAATGAAATCATAGAAAGTGATTTTGTATTTTCACATGTATTATAAAGAAGCGATAAATGATATGTGACTATGTTATAGTAAGATATTATTTTTATAATTTTCTTTATACAACAACCGATATTATAAACTTCCAGGGAGAAATGAAGCTACGGAGAAGTAAAGCTAAGGACATGCCCTATGTACATTTACACATATAATACAAAACTGATAATGATATAAGAAGACATGTAGAAGGAGTGTGTCTCTATTTCACCGTACGCGTGCTGTAATTTGTCTAATATGTCTTCCGTGCGGTTTTGCGTTTTGTAGTTGCTGTATCTGCATTTATTAGTTTATAACTTTCATGGTTTATGTGGTTTTAAAAGTTTTGTAATATATGTATATTTAATGGATGACCTTTTACCTTGGCTTTCAAATGGTAGGGATCTTCTAACATTCAGTCTACCCTGTTGGGGGATGGAAGTTGACTCCTTTTCATTGTGTTTTGAAGATGTTGACTGTTGCGTTGGTGGTGTCCGTATGGGAATTTTTTCTTCAGAGGGGGATTTGTCAATATCTGTAATAATGAAGCGGATGTTGTTGTCCGTTGATGTATTAGTCATACGTAATTTCATTTTCTTGGGAATTCCTTGTAAAGCACTGGCAATTGGAGGTAAAATTTTCCTGTGGTTTATGTTATCATGTGATATAAGCTTATCTGATGTTGTACCAAATAAGTCTTGTGTTGCATTATCAGAAAGCACAATGGTCATTGACTGAATTTCATCTGTAATGATTGCACTAAGTTTGAACCTACAATTTTTTATTATTGAAGTAAGTTTTTTAAAGGAAACTGAAAAAAAAAGTCAAAATTTTTTTGTAGATATCTATGCTTACGTGGTAGTTGGAGAACTGAGAATGTCATCTGAAGGGCAGAACCAATTTTCCCATTGTTTAAAAGTTGCAATCTTGCAATTTGGACATTGAACCTGGTACCAACAATTTGAATAAATATATTCACTTATGGATGTCTTTGCAGTGAAAGTTTTGTCCTGTACAATGCAAAATTTATTACTATTTGTAAGAAAAACGGAGATATAGTAAATTTTTTTGTTTAATATGTATGTAGATATATGACACACCGAAAGATCTGAATAAGTTTTCTGTAATATATCTGATAACAATGTTGGGGGATCAAAGTTGACTGGTGACTGTTGAAAAGTAACATAACTGTAGCATAATAAAGCAATGATAATCAGAGTACATTTATTTATGTTGTATTTGTATGTATTAAAATACCTATCTATAAGTATTGTTGTTTATGGAATTGGTGGGTTGATGTACAAGTGACTTGCGCTGCTTGTGCCAAGTCTCAATGACCCTTTATGTTATTTGTTAATCAAAACTTGTAAATAAGGTAAATGGAAATTTTATTTAAGTATATTTATGACTTTAAAAAGAAAATAACATGGATTTACCTGCATAGTTCGAGATTTTTACACTGCTTATAGCAACAACAGCAGGAGCAGGAGCATTTCCAAGAGAAACACGATCGAATTTTGAAAGTATGTTGGTACATTCTTTCCACAAACTTATTGCAATGTCATCACCACTAATGTTTATAGGTTTGATATATATTAGTATTGTATAAGAATAATAGCAGGAGAAATAAATGCTTACGAATTGTTTTTCAGAATCAGCAGTAGATACGGTTCTGTATCTCTCTTTGTACACTTAATAAGTTTGTTAAACACACCAACAAAGTCTACAGGTAGAAAACATTATTTTAGTATGCATAAGTTAAAACTTGTTAAAGTGAACATAAACATCATTTTTGTTTAAGGTGTGTAATATGTGTGATGCATATAGATATGAGAACCTGCATGTCGATCCACATAATCTGGAATATCGTTTTTGGAAATGAAGTGAAACCAGTATGTAGGTATGACGTGTGTGTCTGGAATTGCTGTAATTGAGGACGATGTCCCAACAGCAATGTAAATGTCTTTTTCCATCCATTTTTGATAGCGGTCTGGGATCCCACATCCATATTTTTCAATTATAAGCATCTATTAGGAATAAGGACAGACTGAACAAATCCTTGATCCTTTCGTTGTCCGAGAATTTGAATTGCATCACCCTTATAAGTTAACCACAAAGAATGAACTAAAACACAGAAAATATCAAAAAAAATACAATGGAATTTAATAACTTACATTCTTGTCAACAGCTAAGAACCATGTTTCCTGACTCCTTATTTGTGGGGTCCACATGCGTAATATTCGAACCTTAAAAAATCAAAAACACAGTAGTTTTGTTGTAAAGTATGTACTTCGTATTGAATAATATAAAAAGGACACTATCTGAGACGCATTCAGAAACCTGTATCGCTGTTCCCGGACATCCGTAGTGTATCTCCGAGATTGTTGTTATTGTTTGAGACATATCTGGAGTCATAATAATATAATATTATAGTTATGATCTTCTGCTGCATTATTAAATATTATATTGTATGAATTACCGAATTGAGGTAAAATAAAATAAAATTAAACATAATGTTGTACATGAATATAAAAGATAAATATGTATTTAACCTGTGATTTATTAATTCTTTGTAGAAATTCTTTAAAAACAACATATTTTGTTTTGTTATTACTGTTTTTGCCATCAGAGTGCATAACTATTTTGACCGAATTTGGAGTTGTAGCACGTGACAATGCAACGTAAAGCTGTCCGTGTGTGAAAACCGGTTCAGGTAGATAAATTCCAATTTTTTTCAAAGATTACCCTTGACTTTTGTTAATCGTCATAGCATAACATACTTTTATTGGAAATTGCTTTCTTATGAAGGTAAATTGTATATCAGGAGCTTTATGGATAAATCTAATACGGTGTAGGAAAACTTTCTTCCCAACACAGGTACCAGTAATGATTAATGCCTCAATTACATTTGGCAGTAATTATGAAACCATTAATCTTGTTCCATTACATAAACCTTCTTTTTGGTTTACATTACGAATCAGCATAATTGGTGTGTCAACTTTCAATGACAGTGAGTGTGCAGGAATGCTAGGGAAGGTGAGGGCATTCAGATATTCCATTGGATAGAAACTATTAAAGTCTGTACTTTGCTTTCCATTGAATTCTATACTATCAGCACTTTCGTATATCTTTGAAGTACCAGGGGTTTTCTGCATAGCCATGTCATTTATTTTTTGGATAGTTTCATTTTTCGGACAGACAATTGCCCAACCAGATAAGACAGTAGGTGAAACTTTAAATTGAAGAACATCTCCATAAACAAAATCTATAAGAACATGTAACTCATTTTCTGATGCAGGTCTAAGAAGTGAAGCAGGAATTTCGATTTATCTACTGTTTGTCGTATCAACTGTATCAACTTCACCAATGATGGCATCTCCAACTTTTGGTAACCAAGATGCAAACTGTGTTACAGTTAAATCTGCCTATGAGGGATTTGAACATCCTTTAAGCCTCATATTATCATTCAATTTATGTAATGTAAAATATGGCCACAGGTATGAGTTTGGCAAGGTGAGCGAAATTATTTCGGACGGTGTACTTTTTGGAGATACGGGCAGCGTTTGTCGGAAGTCCCCTCCTAATAATATTGACATACCACCAAAGGTTTTCACCTCGCATTCAAGGATATCTCTTAAAGACCGATCCAAACATTCAAAACAACGTCTGTCACTCATCGGTGCTTCATCCCATACAATAATAGAAGTGCGTTTTAGTAGCTCAGCAAGCATTGTACGCTTTCTAATATTGCATGCGTATGGTTCTGAAAAGTCAAGTGGAATATTGAATCTAGAATGAGCAGTCCTTCCTGATGGAAGGAGCAGAGAAGCTATTCCTGATGCAACAACAACAAGTGTTATTTTCCCTCTTGAACGGAAATAAGCAAGCAGAGCATTCCGCAGGAAAGTTTTGCCAGTTCCTCCGTGGCCATAAACAAATATAAGGACTTGTTCCTTTCTTTCTTCTGCATATTGAACTTTATTGTGGATTTCAATTTGTTCCTGATTCAGAGATACTAACATTTGTTCATGAGTAAGAGTAAGCACAGCTTTATCATATGTTGTTTCTTCCACGTAAAGACGATTTTGTAACATACCTACAGTATCCTCTGTTAGCCTGCGTAAGTGAAAATCGAAAAAAGACCTTGAAGGCGTTGACGACCTAAGCAGGTGATCAAGCTCAAATAAACTAACTGTTGTGCATGAAAATCATCTATATTTATGTCAACAGTGGGATTGGACTGTCTAATGCTATACACCAAATCATCACTCATTTTATTCCACGCAATGTGCCACAAAGACATGGGATCATTAACATCACAGAGAATCAAAAGATAACAAAACAGAGAACGTAGCTGAGATGAAGTTGCCCATTCAGAAGCCTGGATAAAAGCATCCATCCATTCTTTATCATCTCCTATTATACCTAATGCATCACACGCGCTACGGAAATCAGAATACATTGTATGTGAAACAGTGCGCAACTCTTCATAAGATTTGCAACCCTTTTGATGACAAAGTAATATCCTTAGGAAAAATAATTCTCCAGCAGTTGGATGAACAAATATAAGCCTGCCAAGCGCATGTGAATTTGAACGTTTTCTTCTTTTCCAACTTTTTGATCTTTTATCCCACCAATATTTAGTGGGATACGAGGCATATGTAAGATTATGACCAGATGCATCCCACCTATTTTTTTCAAACCAACCTAACAACAAACTACTACCAAAGCTCGGATCCTCTACAACCTGTTTAATACGGGTATTTTCTTTAAAAAAACCGACTGCATATTTGGCAAATGCACAGGCAAGATCACAATAGGAGGATCGCGCTCGTGAATAGGATAATCAAGTATACGCCACGCAGCCTCATAAGGACATAGAAAACGACCATCAATGTAATTTTTTATCTCATTAACAACCATACCTTCTGCAGAAGTGGAAGGCTGACAGCATTGAACATCTTTATTAATTACAAATCTAACACGTTCCATTCCCTTTGACACATACTTGAATAGATACTTGATCATCATATTCCAACCGCAAAACTCCACATTAATATGTGCATTGAAACGACAACACAACCTTTTGTTATACGGCACTATGTATCTATTATCTATTTCAATACCGTTCGGTAATTTATGAATGGAAACTGAATTTCTTTTATAGTGCGCATAACCATCCTTATCAAATACTGTAGCAGAAAGAAATGACTTTGGGAATTTCTTCTTACAATTACCATCCTTCATACAAGGTGCTTTGCTATTTAGCAAACCATATGGTCCATGTAGTAGATACCTTGTAACAATACCATACAACGTAGCCTCAGAAATTGGATCTGGTAATTCAACAGTAATATAATTATCGATTGTTGAAGGGTCCTTAATCTTATGAGAGTCTTCAACCCATATCAGCACATGACAATGGGGGAGACCCCTTTTTTGAAATTCAATGGTATACAAGTCTGCATGGAAAGATATATAAGAAATATGTAAATTAGTAGCAATAAAAATACAATCATATGAATCAATAAAGCTTATTTATACTTACATGCTGAAACAGGTCCAAAAGTTTTATCAGATTTGAGGTACGCAATAAAAGCATGAACTTTCATACTGAAAACACGTGAAATTATGTCAGCCCTACTACTAACATCAGATTGGTGATGTGAATTCATGTAACGTGTAATTTCTGGCCACCCAACATTGCATGTGAAGGTTATAAAATACTGTGGATTCCCATACTCCCGACAAATAGAAAGAGCATCCTGGTAGTGGTTGTACATGTATCGTGGACCGCCAACAAAAGACGGAGGCAAAAGTACACGCTTGCCAATAGATCGGCTTTCAGTATCACCACGTGATATTGCATCATAAATACCACTAACAAACGCCGATCTTAGTTGGCCTTGATTTTGTTCATAAAACTCAAGACGGGACAATTCAGTACAGGCATAAGCATCAACTAAGTACTTCTGAAACAATCTACATGAATTCAACAATAGAGAATATATACCATGCCTTGCGTGTATCTGATAACTGTAGTACATGTTAACAGTCATATTCCTAACCTTACTACTTGTGTCACTGTAAAGCTTTAAACGTGGACGCCAACCTGTTTCACCATACGGAAACAGGATAGGATATTGTAAGGGCATATAGGTAGGATGTAGTTTACTAATCCTACGTGGATGTCCTTTTCTAGAATGTACAACTATGTCATATGTACTACCAACTGCGTCCTCACCAACAACAATACAACCCAATGTACCCGAAACCGGAGGACCATATAAACGATCAGGAACATCATTAAATAGACAAACTGCATAGTTTACCAAATTCCTCTCAGCAGCAATATCTCTGGCAGTTTTAAAAGTTCTAACATATTCATTATGGACTGTAAAAAGATCCATAAGAGTCTGAACAATTTTTGGATCCGAACTATGATTTTCGTTTTTTTGAAGGGCAGACAGCCTATTCTGCAATTCATGTTCTGTATCAACTATATATAATTGTAAAAACTTAGGACCCTTTTCATCAACCACACCAAAAGCACCTATCCAATGGCAAATCTGACCCGAGACTTTGAAGACATAAGGACCAGTAGTATTATTAATAGCCTCATCGACCTTACCCCCAAAAGATGTCATACTAAACATATTATTATAACCCTTAATGTTTTTCATAAAAGGGGGAAAATCATACAAAGCCAATAACAAATCAGGAGGTCGAAGTGGATATGGCAAAACCTCAGACCCAGACCTACAACAACGTGTATAAGCAGGAGAATCTGGAACTGATAAATATTTAACCCTTTCCTCAAACCAGAAAAAAGCTGAACATGACTTACAAATGAAAGTACAATCACTAACATCATCATAAGAAGGCAAAAGAAAAGAATCATTACAAACAGGCGAATATAGTATCTGAGTAGAAATAATTGCAGTTAAACGCCTGGAGGAACGTCGCTTGCAACTTAAAACAGCAGCCATGAGAGTTTATAAGATGAAAAATACAACACATACCTAACGAAGAACAGAGACGGAAAGTAGCAGAAGGAGAGAGGCGAATAGAAAATTAGAACGGAAATAAGGAAATAAGAATATAAACTAAAAGAAATGAACGTTATTGGCGGAGAAAGGCGGCAACCGACGCCGAGGAGAAGAAGATAAACACGAAAGAAAGTAGAAGCTCCAAGTGCGGGAAAAAAGATAAGGAACAGCAAAACCCGTAATTGCAGTGGCAAAATAAGAAAGGAGAAGAGTTTCGTGTGGAAATAAGAAAAAGAGGAAAAGTTACTGTAGCTAAGCTTTTTAGGAATTGATAGTATATACTAATATGTTGCCTAAGGAGTTTGTTGGCTGTTCTATTATTGATATGATTGTTTATAAGAAAAAGTTAAGTCT